ACATTTATCGAAAAGGGGCAAAACAGAATGAACATGCAAGTACCCAGGAGGGACTAAATAACGTCAGCAGCACCAATCAGAAGCACATAGTCATCTGAGCTGTTCTTAATGTGGACCTAAAGTACAAGGAAAATCAGCAATCGCAACAATAGCTAATTTTGTTTCTTCGCCACAACGATTTGAGAATTCAACGAAATCTTTCCTACAAAACAAACTAACCGTGGAGGTTGATCTAAAAACGTCGCAATTCGACGTCGTTGTTGTCATATCCCTGAAAAAGCCAAAGACTGCTAGAAACGAAGTCCCTGGTGACTACCTCTCTAGGGCTTGAAGTAAAGGAAGTCAACGGAGGTTCTGGTGAAGCGGACCTTAGAAAAGGACGTAGATATAGCGTGAAAGAACAGTTGCTTCTTACTGCATTCAGTGGCATCTACATATTGCAAAGAAAGCTCAAAGGAAGCTGGAAATAACATCCGGGTCTACCAACCATCAGATACCACCGATCGCACAGATGGTCTAGCAAACTCATGGTGTCGCAATAGCGACCCATGGAGAAATATCTTGATAGAAATTTGCACTTACAAGCTATGGATCATATTGCAGCTAACGTGTGTTTTCAATTGTGTAATACTTTTAATAGCACCATTAAAAATTAAATTTTCGATTCCAATTAAATGCCGAAAAATATTTTCTGGGACGTCAGTAGCAGAGAAATAATGCGCATGAATCTTTTTCAGGCTGCCTAAAGTTACTGACAGCAATAGTTTCTCATTAGGCGACTCAATAGCAATTTCATCGTCATTTACACCTTCAAATATTATGCCGGCATTACACAAAGATTCCTGTACATTTTCAATAATTTCCTGGCCCGTCAAGTTATTCTGTCATCTGCTTATGTGTAGTCTTCATAATTAGCAGATTCCAAAACTTCCGTGGCGACAACTATGGAATCCAACGTTTCTTCGACCTCATGTTCCACTTCTGTTCCAGTCTTCTCTATTACAGTTGTCTGGTTTACAAGATGATTTTGCGAAAAAATGAGGTTTTCTTCCAGTACTTTAATATTGTTGATTTTTTTTCACGAACCACAATGCCCACAACGATCAATTCACATGTTTCTTTAACATCTATTTTTTGTTATCCTTTGAAACTAATGTTTTGCAAACAAATTTTGGTAATTTGGCTCCTATTATGCATTTTGACTGCACGCCTGATTCCTAAGTTCAAAGATTCCAGAAGTGCCGTTCAATTTGGAGATAAAAACTCGATTTTATTATGTCATATTATGTGCAGAGCAATTTTCAACTAAGAAAATGATTTTTCATTTTGTTTGTTTTTCATTTGTGTATCCAAGTTTTGTAGCCATTCGTTGAATATAGTTTGTCTCATCCAAGCACCTGTTTTGTACAATAATTAAACGGAAGTGATCGAATATACTTCGACACCGTGGATCTGCGTATCTTTCCATGATCATGATTTCAGTTTCTCTTCTATCAGAAGCGTTGCAGACAAGGCAGCAGTGCTATTCTGATTTCTTGCCACTTCTGCAATAATCTCCTTTAACAGTGAGTCCACGACATAGAAGGTAACTAATAGAACATCCAAATCTGATCAACATCAAGAATATGATTGATGCTGTAATCTGCGATTATCTCTGTAACTTCAGCAGCACACGCAATTCGCTACCTCAGCCCTGTTGTACATCATTCTCTTCTCCACAGATTACACTGGAAGCTATTCCATTTGGTTTTCGAAACCTATTGAGCCATTAAACTCTTGCTTGAAAACTATCGTGCTCTAAAAGTTTCTGAAAATCAGATGCCTTTTCACGTACGATTGGGCCACTAATAAGGATATTTCTTGACCGAATCATGAAACATGAATTTTCTAATCATGAAACAATAGCTTTACCAATGTCATCATGTTAAGCGTTTCGAAATTTCTTCCTTTGAAGTTATGATGTTCTCCTTTTAATTTTGTATTCAAACTTTTTACCATCTTTTAAAATTGTAGACAATGTCGAAGTAGCAGTGGGAAATAAAATAAGATGGAATAAAATAAATAAAATGGCAAAATACTTAAAATGCTTCCTTTCCTATAATCTGTGTTTCATTGTGTGTTTGTTCACTTCATGATGGATTATTTCGCTGAATTTTGGGCGAAACCCAGACATCGATCGGGTAATGTTGTTGAGATAGAAAATAGCTGAATTTCGGCGATGTAAGTGCCCTTCACCTAGCTACAGCAATGATAAATATAATCGATGTTTGTTTTTGCGCACGTATGAATAGTGTCATTTTTATCGGGATAAATGCTCGTTCTGCTGAAATTTTGATTTCGTTATGACGAGATCTATTTATCATATTTTATTAAGTAAATGCTCGAAACACAAGAAAGTTTTTCGTTATACTGAATATTTCGTTATTTTGGAATTCTGTATATATCCAAGGATGTTCATCCGTTGGCGTTCGAACAGTTTATTGCTCTACCCAACAAAGTCTATTTCTTCTTATTGTTTTCCTCTCCGCGTTATCCTTCATCTTGATCTACTGGAAATAAATAAAAGCATGTTTCTTTGCCAACTTGGTATGAGGATGTATTTCTGATGCATTTGCTTTCGAAATATGAGGATGTCTGGCAACATTTGCTTACCATTAACATTTTAATCGATCATTTCGATGTTCAAAATTTTCCTTCAGGGGTACTATGTTGGCTTCAGCTGCTAACAGGATCTGGATTGCTTCATAAGGATATAAGACTCCATACTTTGGACGCTGCTCCGTTTCGAGTTGAACGTCAATTTTGGCCTCCAACGAGCACCATTCGCATGCACGAGGCAAACTCGACTGAAAAGACTTTCTGGCAATGAAATGCCCCCAAGGTTAGTCACTATCCGTGGGGAGAATTTCTAGGCAAAAGTATATCATTTACATATCTGTGCACTTTCGGCAGCGTAATCTATTTCGTATCGATGAGCAGCCTTGTTTAGTTCTGTCTGGCAACGAAGCGTCAGTGTGAAAGTTCATCAAGTTGTTGGGAAGCGAAGACGCTCCAGGAGGAAAGCGGACGAACTCCGATGTTGCGTCAGGAAGTCGAGATGGAAAACATTAAGACGGTGCATGACGGCGGAAACAATCTGGACGAGTTCGAAAACAAGTTCGGTTCCAGCTCGCAACACATGAGAGAAGCCGTCGTTATTCAGGTACCTTTGTCAGCGTCATGCAGCATTTTGTGTAAAGCCGCGGAAGACCAGAATGAGACATCTTTTCGAAAGTGAGGTGCATTACAGTGTGTACTCTGTTCAGCCGTAAGGAGGACTTCACAAGGAGGGCTCGTCATTAACCGATAGACGATTAGTCTACTAGACCATGACAACTAAAGAATGACCGATTATTTAATGCTTGTGCGACGATGCTCCAATTTTGAAGATTGTCTTACTGAATTCCGCATCGAGATTGGTGGGGGTCACTTTTTATGCTTATAGCGTTAAGAGCTTGATCAAATCTTTCGTTAAAGCTGTTTAGGCGCTAAGCAAAAATTGAACCATGCTGATTTCGGCAATCAGTGTACGAACCTATATCTGAATTTATTTATGGAGATCAACGACTAGACATCAGATTGTCCTGAGACTGCGAATGGTAAACAAAATGGCTGAATCGCGATGGTGAGTTATGTCCTCCGTGTCCTCCGCAGTACCGTGAATCGTAGAACACACATGCAGTGCGAAAAACGGGTGACATTCTGATAAAGATCATGAACAACTGTTCATTATGGACAGCAGCGTCATAGGGCTCTCTCGATTAGTCACTAGTAGAAGGCTAATTGGTGTTCATTGTATGCACTCTTCCCGCTACTTAAAGCAATTTCTTGACATGACTGACTGATAAATAATTGGTATGAAGGTATAGGTTAGGTCGTTTCACTAGCGGAATTCGGACGATTTCCTTTGAGCACTGATGTCACATACCAACCTGCTGTCTTTAAAGTTAAGACCCAGGTGGCTCATTGGTGCACTATTTGATTCACAGTGAGTTGTGAGAAAATACTATTCTCATATCACTCCGTATGCGAGTGACTAATTTGACAGAAGATGGGGGATCATGACGTGCCTTGCTTCGCAGTCCTCCATGTTCACTTTCTCAGTCCATATCGTACTCTTTGCTGATGAGCGAATGAATGAAATGAAGCCATGCTGTTTGAACAGTATCGCCAAAAATCTGGATTTTCTGCCTTGATTGAAGCAAAAGCTAAATAGTTCACGAAGAGGCTGCACAAACGGATTGTTTTGTTGAATTAAAATCGAAACAGAATCGGAGTCATATTTCATCACACTCAACATTCAGTGGAGAAATACAAATAGGACTAATCTACATTGTGTATGTGTACACAATGCTGGGTAAGTTCATTTGGGTCTCATGATTCACTCCACCGCAAAATTATCGAGCTGTAGTCGAACTCCCTTCTGGCGTACTCTTTAACATATTAGATCTTAGTGGAAGGACGACGTGTGAGATAGTGCTCGAAATTTTCATCTAAAATTGCGTACTGTTGCCGAGGAGGTTGTTGCTAACTATTCCCTTCCTGAAAAACTGCGGGCTTGGAAAGAGATCGTTTAGAAGTAAGTAGCTGCGATTTGTGACCAGCTGAAAAAAGCTTCTGTTACATATAAATTTTGCAGCTATATGTAATAGAAGGAGTTTCGAAGAAACGCGCTTGCTTCAAACTAAGGTTAATAAATTTTTATTGCATTTGAATATTCATTCATTCATTTTCCATTACCGTTTTTATTTTCACGTCGCGGAGGCAGACACGACAAACCGCACTTCTAACCTTCCCGTTCCTGTGCCAGAGTCTGAGCTACTGCAGAAGGCAACCGGAGTCTAGAGCAGACTCCTTCCACATATTTCCACCAGGTTAATCTCGGACTCCCTTGGGTCTTCCGCTAGTCGGCGGGACAAGAAGTAGTTGCTTCGTCTTCCCTTATGGAGGCATTAGCAACACATGCCCAAGCCATCTCAGCAGTGACTTCTCATTCTGAAGAACCAGCAACTGTACAATTAGGTTTCCTCAGATTTTTGTACGCCGGGCCATGTCGACCTGCGTGAGGCCTGCGATTCATCTCAGAAAGTGAGAAAGCCACTTGTACCCAGTATAGTGGATCTTCAGTTATGAACCACGACTCACGACCGTGCGTCAGCATGGGATGAAGATCGACTTGAACACCCAGAGCTAAGTCTTCTGACTCAGCTCTGCTTTAGTCACAATGGTTCGGACTAGTTCACGCAGAACTCGGCAGCTCCAATCCGCCAGTCGATCTCATCCTCAAATTTTTAAGCTCCAGCGAGCACAACTCCGAGGAATTTGGAACATCTCCACTTGCTTCTTTGTATCTCCACTTATTTTAAGAGACCATTGACCAGAAGAATGAGAAAGCACTAGGCTGTTCACGTTATCTACTTTCACACGCACACCGGCCATATGAACCTTTCCGAAAAGTGCTGTAGATCAGTGTCGGCAGATGCCAACAAAATAGGATCATCTGCTAACAGCGGACCTCTCGTCTCGATATCTCCTACACCGATAAACTTATCACCCTGCCTGTGCCTCACCCTTCGATCCATGTACGATACAAACATGAGAGGGGACAAAACACCTCTTGACGGTGACAAGCGCCAACGCTG